CTACGGGACCTAGGAACCTTCAGTTGAAGCTTGCTTATGTAACAGTAGTATTAGTAACACATAATGGAAAACACACTAGCAACAACAAAGTCACAAATCATCTACCATTTCTTTTCAGAGAGACTTGACTAGCTCAGATTCATTACCATGCTTCCCTCTTTACACTTATTTTCTGATATTTCTATGTTCAATTAAACATGTTTTAAAGAAATGATAAAAACAGAGCATAAAACCACCTTACCTAAGCCTGGCCTGCAAAAAAGAATTTCTAGAAGGCCTTATGTCAAATACTTATGAAATAACCTGGTACTGCTGTAGAGTAGGAACTGACTCAGAGCTGGCTCTCCAACGGGTTTTCTGACTATGTAAGTCACTTGGGAGGAGACTGTGTGTACCTTTCTCCCACTGAGCTGCTGGTGGCAGGTGGTGAAGCTTGGCCTTGGGGCTAGCAGTGCAACTCCCTTCCAACTCCCTGGACTACACCACCAGAGCTCTCTAATGGTAACATTAGTTGCTGAAGAAATTAGCTGCTGTAAACACAAAAAAAGGAGGAAAGAGATAAGGATTTAAAATATTAATATGGAATCACTGGACTCAGAAAAGGGGGAGGGGGGAAGAACTCTCCAAGAGAAAACTCCTTGAGCACTGTAAAATATTGCAAAGAGGAAAGTAATGCCAGACGCAGGCCTGAATAAAAGTTCTGAGAGACAGTATGCCCTTATGGAAAACATCCCACCAGCAACCAGTTGTAAGTCAAATTTGGCCAGCAAGATTCAGAGCCTTTCGAAAGTTAATCATTGTGGTCATCTGTTTCCATTAAAAAACAAAAATTTTAAAAAAACCCTTATTTTTATTTAGCATCCATGGAAGCTCTAGTCAAGAAATCTAAAGACATGTTGCAATAAGGAAATCTGCTGTCAAGGACCTCTCCAAAGTGCCAGAAGCAGTAACATCAATTTAAGACTAAAGCAAGCTTGATTCAAGTCATGGTATTATTATCAGTTAATTGCTATGCATGTGAAACTTGGACTGTAAGTAGTGATAGGACAGAAGAATGGATGCCTTTTGCACTATGGTGCTGGAGAAGAGTACTGAACGAAATGCTAAAAAACCTAAACAAGCCTATCACAGAGCAAGTTCTCCCAGAGTGCCTCTTAGAGCGAGGATGATGACATTCTGTCTCACATAATTTGGAAAGGGGCCAATCCTTGGGGGGAAAAAAAATCCATCATGCTGAGAAAGATGGAGGGTCTTTTAAAGAGTTAAATTTTCAATAAAACAAACTGACACAGGGACTTTAACAAAGGGCTTGAGCATACCCAGATGTGAGGCTGGTGCGCAGGGTAAGTTCTAATCAGTTGTTCACCGGGTCATGTGCGTCAAGAGTGATTTGAAAGCACATAACATTAAGATACTGTCTAAGGAGCTGGCTATGTCAGATCCTATGAATATGGTTTCCTGGCAAGTTCTACTAGATTTCACTTTTCAACAGGATGCCAAATTTTATTTTTTTTAACTTCAGTCTTCAACTACATCCAGTGAGTGGTGAGATTTCAAAATGCACTACCACTGAGTCGGTTCTATCTAGCAACAAGCTTCCATCAGGGTTCTGAGACTGTAGATCTTAACATGAGGAAACTGCCTGGGGAGTCAAAACATCAGAGATGTATGGGCTTTTGGTTAGGACCTTAACATACCAATAATAGATTTTTTACTCTTGTTCTCCAACAGCCAGAAACGCTACACCTTTAGCTTCAATTTCCTCCCACCCCCAGCCCACCCCCCAGTATACATTTTCTTTTCTACCCTACGGTTACTTGAAAATTACCAAAAATTTTTCTTAAGGATTCTTTTAACAACTGACTGA